AGGTGCTTTAGACCACTGAGCCATCTCTCCAGCCCCTCTAGGTGGAATTTTTTATAACCTCCCTATTGCTTCAGTCTTGCTGTTCTCTTCCCCGGCTAGACCTCTTTCTGTCTCCTCCAAGGGATCCGTTCAAGGCACACATAAGTGAGTGGACAACAGTTATCTTTCTTTCTTTTTCTTTTCTTTTTTGTATTTTAGGGAAGGGTCTACAGGGTGTTCAGGGTCTCACTACTAGATCGGACTCGTAGTGATCTACCTGTTTACAGCCTCCCAAAAGCTGGGCTTAGAGGTGCGTGCCACCACACCCAGTCTCAATTGTTGTCTCAGAGTGCCCGGGGGCAGGGCCAGCATGGAGTGTACTCCCAACCCCTGTGCCTGCTTGCAGGCGCTTTAATCCACTGAGCTATTTGGCTGGCCCACAGTTACTTTTCTCATTCTCCCAATTGGTGAATCACCCCTTCCACTCTCCCTAGGTTCTGGGACCCTGCCTACTGAGGCCACATCTCTGTCCATTCATGTGGCTCAAGGATACCCTGGAGCTCCATCCTTTCCCAACCTGCATGGACCGCACTCCTAGAGGTAGCCAGCGGGACTCACCTGTCAGAGACCTTCTCGGAGCCCACGAACAGGCTGCTTCGAAGGAGGCCAGCCCTAGTGCCCAGGAAGGCCAGCTCCACCCCTTGCTCTGACTTCCTGTGAGGCAGACAAAGCGGGAGCAATGAGAACATAGAGGTCCCCATGGGGAAGGCCTGGTGCAGGGACTCTGCAGGAAGGCTGAGCTCAGGGACCCCGTGCTCCTCAGGTCCTCAGTGCCCAGGCAGTGGGCACCCCTCACTGCCCACCCCTCCTTAGCTGCCCCTTGAGCCCCCGCCTCTCTGCTGTGTCAGACCCAGCTTCTCATGTGTCCTCTAGTTTTGGGGGGAGTTGCCCCTCAAGGCAGAGGAACCCAATGAGACAGACTTTGTCCTGGGACCTACACATAGTAACTTTCTTTCTTTCTTTCTTTCTTTCTTTCTTTCTTTCTTTCTTTCTTTCTTTCTTTCTTTCTTTCTTCTTTCTTTTTTTGTGGAACTGGGGATCGAACTCAGGCCCTTGCGCTTGCCAGGGAAGCACTTATTCCACTGAGTCATCTCCCCGGCCCCTTACATAGTAACTTTCTATGACCACACATTTGAGGTCCTCTTGGGTGCTGAGCGTTGGCTGCTGATTTCCTCCGTGACTTAATTGTGAGGAGCAGCCTCTCAGAGAGAGCTGTGAGCATGGCCAGTGAGGTCTGAATTTTA